TCTTAGTAGGGACTAGTTTGTCTTCCCCAGATATTGGTTGTGACATGTTCAGAGCTGCAGGGACCCTCCCCGTGCGCCGCCGCGTCCAAATAGTAAATTGTAAATAGATAAGAAAGACGTATTGTGCTCGGAGTCCATCACACACTCTGTAAACACACCTCCTGTCTGCCCCCGTCACACATAAATCCACTACACACATGTGAATGAGGACGGTGCATTATTTTATTGCACTAAGACCTCGGTGTAATGTATAGACTTGTGTCGCATTTGTGTGTGCGCGTATGTGTTTGTGTGTGTGTATATGTCTCTGTGTGTGTATAGAGTAAAATGTGTATGTATGTGTATGTGTGCGTGTTTATAGTTTATATATGTGTGAATGTGTGTGTATATACATGTGTATAGTGTATATATGTATATGTGTGTGTATATATATTACAGTAGTTTATATGTGTATATGTGTGTGTAGTTTATATAGATATGTGTGTATATTGTACATATGTGTGTGTATATTGTGTGTATAGTGTATATATGTGTGTGTGTGCATATTGTTTGTGTGTATACAATAGTTTATATGTGTATGTGTGTGTAGTTTATATAGATGTATGTTTGTGTATTGTGCATGTATTGTGTGTATATATGTTTATGTGTGTGTATATAGTGTATGTGTGTGTATATTGTGTGCATATATGTGTGTGTATACTGTGTTTATAGATTATGTCTACGTGTGTGTATAGTTTATAGATATGTGTGTGTGTATATTGTACATACATATATGTGTGTATATTGTGTGTATAGTGTATATATGTGTATGTGTTTGTCTATAGTTTGTGTGTGTGTATACAGTAGTTTATATGTGTAAATATACGTGTGTGTAGTTTATATAAATGTGTGTATCTTTTGTACATGTATTGTGTTTATATATATGTTTATGTGTGTATATAGTGAATATGTATGTGTGTATTGTGTGCATATGTGTGTGTATATTGTGTTTATAGATTATATATGTGTATGTGTGTGTGTATTGTTTGTATATATGTGTGTGTGTATATTGTTTGTATATGTGTGTGTAGTTAACATAGATGTGTGTGTGTATATTGTATAATGTATATATATGTGTGTGTGTATATAGTGTGTATAGATGATATATGTATATGTGTGTGTATATATTGTACATATGTGTGTGTGTATATTGTGCGTATATGTGTATATTGTTTGTGTATATGTGTGTGTGTATATTGTGTGTGTATATTGTGTGTATGTGTGTGTATATTGTGCGTATGTGCGTATTGTTTGTATATGTGTTTGTATATTCTTTGTATATGTGTGTGTGTGTGTGTAGTTAACGTAGATATGTGTGTGTATGTTGTATAGTGTATATATGTGTATGTGTGTGTATATTGTACATATGTGTGTGTATATTGTTTGTATATATGTGTGTGTATAGTTTACATAGATGTGTGTATGTGTGTCTGTATATTATGCATATATGTGTGTGTATGTTGTATAGTGTATATATGTGTATGTGTGTGTGTATATAGTGTGCATATGAGTCTGTGTGTTGTGTGTGTTGTGTTTGTGTGTAACAGCCTAATAAACTGTATCTCTTCTTCTTCTTCTTCTTGTGTTTTGGTGCAGTGGTCCAGGATCCAGGCGGCGCGACTCTGCCATCTGTCCCCCCTCTGTCCCCTGTGACCCAGAACACCACCCCCAGTATGAGGTGATCCATCTTGTCTCCTCTCCACACACACACACACACACACACACACACACACACACCATCAGCTGCTCCTAATACACACACGGACACACAAAATACACACACACTTTCATATGCAAACACACACGTTGTTGGCAGAAGTGCGCGTCACGTTATAACATTGTTCCCTCATCAGAAACCCGTCTGAAGAGGTTTTAAATGTCATCCAATCATGTTTGAGTAATTTAGCGATCTCTCCCAGGCCCTATTCAGACCCTCCTTACAGTTAGCTATAGATTCTGTACGAGGCTCCGCCCACAAGCCAACGTCACTCATGCTCCCACATGACAATTCTTCATAAATATACAAAAAACTTCAATTAAACTTAAAATTATTGACGTATCTGCATCAATTCAGAACCATATTATTGTGAGACAAATGTATCTCAACAATACATTTTTCCCACATGACCAGTCAAAAAGTTGGACGCACTCTCTCATTCAATGTTTTTTTTTTTTTTTTTTTAACTAGTTTCTACATTTTAGTTACACACAGAAGACGTCAAATGTATGAAGAGATATTGGATTATTTAGTAAAGAAATGTTATCTAAAAGTTATATAACTCTTATTACAGAAGCGGCAGGTCATTTGGGCTCTATTTTCAAATTTTTATTTTATTTTTTATTTTTTTTGCACCAACTTAAAAAAAATGCAAAAAAAATTCTAAAAAAAAAAAAAAAAGTCTTTTATTTATTTATTTATTCATTTTTCAGTTTGCACCAGCAACTCTTTTTTTTTTCACTGTTGATGTGACTGAAAAAAAAAAAACACAAGAGAAAAAAAAAAAATTGTTGCTTGTGCAAAATGAAAAAATAAATAAATAAAAAGATTTTTATTTTTTGAGCTGGTGCAAAAAAACAACAAAAAACTAACCAAAAAACACACAAAAATAGAGCCCAAATGACCTGTTTTTTTTTTTTGTTTTTTTCTTTTTACTCTTGCCTCTCAGGGCTTCTGTAATATATATATAATTATTTATTTATTTATTTAAATTTGTTGTTTGTTTTTCACCGCAGCATTTCAGAGCGTCTGGAGCACGCGTTGGAGAAAGCCGCTCCGTTGCTCAGGGAAATCTTCGTGGACTTCGCTCCGTTCTTGTCCAGGACTTTACTGGGAAGTCACGGACAGGAGCTGCTCATCGAGGGAACGAGTGAGTATCACAACAAACTACCGCGGAATATTAAGAGAAAGAAATTAAACTTGTGGAGGACAAAAAACAAGAACGCATCAGGGGTCTTTAAAGTTTTCTACCATGTTTATAATGTTCAGTCATCAAAAACAGAGAATATCTAATAATAAAACTATAATAAGTTATAGTTTTTCCACAAATCAATAAGAAAAAGTTGAATAAAAGTAAAAAAAAAATAGGTTGAAAATGACAGGAAGTTTAGATTTATAACATATTGAAGACGTCACACTGGGAGAATTCTGCCCAAAGTTCGACACAATTTACACAAGAAACTCATTTTTCTGATACTTTAAACATGATTTCAAACTAAATAAAGGTGTTTTTTTAAATATTTCTATTTGTTAAATGATCATTTCTGTGCACATCAGAGAAGTTTTGGCCCAGTTTATGACAATTACATTACAATTACAGGATTCTTTAGTGTCATGTGAAGATTTGCAAACACGTAGTAAATTATAAAAGCTTAAAAATGTTTTCATAATCTTAAATATAATGAGTTTTAAGTGTGATTTAATCTTCAGTTAAATCATTATTAAATGTTTGTATCATACAGATTATGAAAACGGCTCCGTCTTAATGAAAAGTTCACACTTGTAAATCCAGGGCACAGTTTGTATTCTCCTCATTCTCTTTCTCTTTCTCTCTTTCTCTCTCCTCCTGTCTTCATTTGAATGTGATACATGAGGGGGGGGGGTTAATCCGACGTTCTGTTGAGGGGAGAGCTTCCAGGGGCCCGGGGTCAAAGGTCGGGGCACTAATAGCAGTGTTTGGGATGTCTGCTGCCACAAAACAAAATGGAAAGTTGATTGATAGCTGCAGGGGGCCCCGAAGAGGAGAAGAGAGGAGAGAGGGAAAGGGGGAGAGGAGGGGAGAAGGAAGAGAGGGAGGAGAGGAGGAAAGAGGAGAGGGGGAAGAGAGTGAGGAGAGGAGTGACTGGAGTAGTAGAGAGGAGGAGAGGTGAGGGGATTAGAGAAGCGGTGAAGGGAGGACAGGGGAGAAGAGGAGAAAAGACGGAAGGAGAAGACAGAGGAAGAGGAGAGGAGAGTGTAGGGGGAGAGGAGAGAAGGTGTGAAGAGAGGAGATAGGGAGAGGGGAGGAGAGGAAGAGAGGGGAGAAGAGGAGAAAAAAAGAGAGGGGAGGAGAGATTGGAGGAGAGGAGAAGAGAAGAGAGGAGGAGAGGAGAGTGAGGAAGAGAGGAGAGGAAGAGAGGGGAGAAGAGGAGAAAAAGAGAGGGAGGAGAGATTGGAGGAGAGGAGAAGAGAAGAGAAGAGGGAGAGGAGAGTGAGGAAGAGAGGAGAGGAAGAGAGGGGAGAAGAGGAGAAAAAAAGAGGGGAGGAGAGATTGGAGGAGAGGAGAAGAGAAGAGAGGAGGAGAGGAGAGTGAGGAAGAGAGGAGAGGAAGAGAGGGGAGGAGATCAGAAAATAAGAGAGACTGGAGTAGAGAAGGGAGGAGGGGAGGAGAGATTGGAGTAAAGAAAAGAGGAGGAGAGGATTGTGAGGGGGGAGGAGGAGGGGAGGGGAGAAGGGTGAGAGGAGGAGAGGGTTGTGGGGGGGGAAGAGAAGAGGAGAGGAGGAGATAAGAGAAGAGAGGACAGGGATGAAGAGAGGGAAGGAGAAGAGAAGAGAGGAGGAGGAAAGAAGAGAAGAGGAGAGGGAGGGAGAGAGGAGAGGAGGAGAGAGAAGAGAGGAGGAGAGGAGAGAGGAGGTGAAGAGGAGGAGAGTTTGTGTGACTTTGCAGCTGGTGTCATCCACATTCCCTGGGTTGTGATTCTAACCTTAGGCACTGCTCTGTCTGGGGCTTAATTAGACTTTAATCTTTTTCATTTTAACGCGACATTTGAGCACTTGAACTGACATGTCGGCTTTAAACACGACGCGAGCAGCGATCGGTCGATTTCCGAGTTCAATATTAGAACAAAATAGTGAAATAAAAACCCCAGGATCACGTAAATCACGCGGGTTAATAAGAAGAAATTACGACGACACTTTTTCAGTAGAAACCGAACTGGACCCAGAGTCAACGGAGCCAGAAGTGCACCCATGCTCACTTCCTAAAAGGGTTATGTCCATTTATAAACACTTCTATGGTCTAATGGGGGCTGCGGCGACCCCTCCTTCTGTGTGTGTCCGGACCCTGGCCCCTCCCTCTGTGTGTGTGTGTGTGTCCGGACCCTGGCCCCTCCCTCTGTGTGTGTGTGTCGGACCCTGGCCCCTCCCTCTGTGTGTGTGTGTGTGTGTGTGTGTCCGGACCCTAGCCCTCCTCTGTGTGTGTGTGTGTGTGTGTGTGTGTGTCCCTGGTCCCCTGGCCCCTCTCCCTCTGTGTGTGTGTGTGTGTGTGTGTGTCCGGTCCCTGGCCCCTCCCTCTGTGTGTGTGTGTGTCCGGACCCTGGCCCCTCCCTCTCTGTGTGTGTGTGTCCGGACCCTGGCCCCTCCCTCTGTGTGTGTGTGTGTGTGTGTGTGTGTCCGGACCCTGGCCCCTCCCTCTGTGTGTGTGTGTGTCCGGACCCTGGCCCCTCCCTCTGTGTGTGTGTGTGTGTGTGCCGGACCCTGGCCCCTCCCTCTGTGTGTGTGTGTGTGTGTGTCCGGACCCTGGCCCCTCCCTCTGTGTGTGTGTGTGTGTGTCCGGACCCTGGCCCCTCCCTGTGTGTGTGTGTGTCCCCCTGGCCCCTCCCTCGTGTGTGTGTGTGTGTGTCCGGCCCCTGGCCCCTGCCCTCCAGATTCCAGATCAATGGACATATGTTGGCCCAGTAAAGTCTGTAATACAAGGCCCAAATCTGGATTAGTTTACAGTAACATCATGTCCACTCATTAGAAACATCAATACTATCTGCACACTACAGATGGTGCAAGGTCACATCATCCCCCGGGTTTAAAGAGCAAAGGGTTCAGTCCAGGGAGATTTAAAAGTATAACTATAGTTTAAAATCACTGTAAAGATTTTAAATTCTAGTTTAAGATTAAAGACGTGGACTTTATATGTACTTTATATTTGATGTAGAGCCCTGCACGAGACCCGACGCAACACAGTACGGCGCGGGACACGTTTTTAGTTGTAGTAGTAGTTTATTCGGTCATTTTGCAGCTCTACAAAACAAAACAAAACATAGACTACAATCCCATAGATCATGACCAAAAGGGTTTAGGCTGAATTAAAAAGTACTTATAACAGGCGGGATTAGTCCTGGCAAACGTACAAATAGCATACAAATGATTCATGTTCGTCTGTCATGCATCATTTGCGTTGGATGTTTTATTTGGCGTTAATAAAAATGTTTTAAGCAGACTGAACTTGCGGATGTGGTCAAATCTCGCTCACATTTAGATAATTTCTTTCCGCTTCTCAGTGTTTGACAAAGTTTAAGAAAGCGAACGGGATTTGCGGGCGGAAACGGGACAAAATATCATAGATATGGGTGAGAACGGGACAAAATATCGTAGATGCGGGCGAGAACGGTACAAATATCATAGATGTGGGCGAGAACGGTACAAATATCGTAGATTCGGGCGGGAACGGGACAAAATATCGCAGATGCGGGCGGGAACGGTACAAATATCGTAGATTCGGGCGGGAACGGGACAAAATATCATAGATGTGGGCGGAAGGACAAATATTGTAGATGCGGGGCGGGAACGGGACAAAATATCGTAGATGTGGGCAGGAACGGGACACAAATATTGTAGATTCGGGCGGGAACGGGACAAAATATCGTAGTAAATGCGGGCGGGAACGGGACAAAATATCGTAGATGTGGGCGAGAACGGTACAAATATTGTAGATTCGGGCGGGAACGGGACAAAATATCGTAGATGCGGACGGGAATGAGACAAAATATCACAGATGCGGGCGGGAACGGGACGAAAATATCGTAGATGCGGGCGGGAACGGGACAAAATATCGTAGATGCGGGCGGGAACGGGACAAAATATCATAGATGCGGGCGGAACGGGACGAAATATCGTAGATGCGGGCGGGAACGGGACAAAATATCATAGATGCGGGCGGGAACGGGACGAAATATCATAGATGCGGGCGGGAACGGGACAAATATCATTGTCATAAGTGGTTGATGTGATTTTTCTTTGTTGGTAATTTTGGCAGTTTTGTTTGTGTTGCTTCCAACGTTGATGTGAGCCTAATTCAATTCAAATTTTAGAGTTGTTAAATTAAATATAACATGGTGAAAGTTTCACCGTTGTAAATCTGGAACAGTGTGGGGGTTTGGCACTCATGATTTTCATTTTTATATTATGTGAAAACTTGATCATTTTAATTTAATTCATGTAAAAATGTTATATTCACAGGATTTGTATATCTCATTATTACTTACATTGTAAAAATATGATATCTGTGTAGTGTTTCTTGATACTTCTGTTCTTTTTGTGCATTTGTCTTTGCAGTTTCTGTCCTTGAGATGGAAACTAACACCTCCATGTTTTTAAATGTCTTTACACTAAAATGTTGTTCACCCTCCTGTTGTTCTCTTGTTGTTCCAGGTCTGGCGTGTATGAAGTCCAGCAGCTCTGTGGTGGAGCTGGTCATGCTCCTGTGCTCTCAGGTGAGTGTGGCCTCTTTATTTCGTCTCCTACACAAAAACTTTCGTCGTCTTTGTGAAAGTGTGTCCTAAAGTTTGGACACGCTTTCATTCATTCTTTGTTTCCATGATTATTTACACTGTAGATTCTCACTGAAGACGTCAAAACTCTGAATGGCACATGTGGAAAGTTGTAAACAAACACACAGCAAAAAGTGGAGGGTTAAAATTGACTCACAGAATCAACTTTAACATTTTCTCAGGGTTTATATGAGTCCAATCTATTGTAGAGTTAATTTAACATTTTTGGACATGTTAATTAAGTAACACTGGACCAAAGTTCCTGTTTAACACCAAACTCAAGAGTTATATTAATGTTTTAAGAGTAAACAGATAACTCTTTGCAGAGTTATTCTGATTTAGCAAAACAACACACAGAGGTGTTTTATTTTTACACTTTATTTTAGTCAGTTTAAGATGAAATTCTGTACAAAACTTCTTCCAACTGGTCTGGAGTTTGAAGTGGTGGGAGGAGCCAAATTAACACGAAGGGAAGTTAAATTAACTTCAACCACATCAACTCTGGCAAATATCCCCAACTCGAATCCCCGATTTAACTTTCAGATCGTTAAAATAATACTTATTGTGTTAAAAAACAGAAATGTATATTAAAATGTAAATGTAAAGAAATGTTTAATTTTTTGATCTGTGAAAGGAGCAGGGCTTATAAGATTTATCTTCTACCTGTTCCTTTTGTTCATGCAGCAAAGACAATGAAAATAATCGTAGAAATATGTATTTATGTTAATTTTCAGATTTTTTGTTGTTGTTCTTTAAGTTGATGCCAACAAAATAATAGCATGAGCAAGAAATAAACAAACAAATAAATAAAACAACTGTGAAATATTTCACCCTGAAAAAAAAAAGGGAAAAAAAACCCTCCAGTTTTTGCTGTGTAAAACTTTAATTTTGGACCCTGAGTTGCACTTTTGTCATTTCCTGACTCTGAGGCACAGTTATGAAGTGAAAACCATTTCAGGAGACTTCATCATCGTGGTTCATTGAGAGAAGGTGAAGGGTTTGTGATGCTGTTGACAAAGGAAAGGGTGGATACTGTGAGGATTTGCCTTAAAAATAATATAGCTCCTTTTGGCCATCCACTGTTCCTAACGTTGGAGGTTTGACATAAACATAAACATAAACATGGGCACTGACACTGACAAAGTCTCCTGCGCTCGCACCCAAAAGACAGAGGAAGATGTAACCATTGCACAAAAAGCTGGACTTCTGGACACGCGAAGGAAGATAGAAGCGCTGTAGCAGAGTCCTGCAACGGGTCGTGTACAGGTAAATAGTTGCTGAAACAGGCGGGTTTTAACGTTCTGGAATTTTACGGGCGGGTATGCGAGCGGGTAATCCCGGGTAGACTTCTGCACCTGTCCTTTCTCCTGCAGTCACCCCCGAGCCCATCCCCGACAGTGAGTCCTAGTTCAGATCTGATTCATACCTCGTTCTGGTTTAGTCCTCCTCTTCAGTTCTGGAATCAGTCCTAGGTTAGTTCTGGGTTAGTCCTGGTTTACCGTATTTTTCGCACTATTAGTCGCTCTGGATTATAAGGCACACTGTCATTAAATGGTCTATCTTTGAACTTTTTTCACAAATAAACCTCGTGGGACTTTAAAGGAAACACAACAGTGTGATGGGTGAGTGGTTTTGTTTGTTTGTTCGTTCACGGTGACTCTGGGCTTTGTTCAGTTGTGGCGTGTAGGGAGGGTGTGTCTGGGACCAACGGATTGTCGGCGTGTTCGCAGTGACTCAGTTGTTCAGTCGTGTCTAGAAGCGGCACATTGCGCTCGCTTTTTCAGTTTGTTCCTCTGTTCTGTTCCTCGTCGGCGTGGAGTGATGAGTGTGTCTGTGGGTGTGTTTCGCTGTGCGGTCGCTGTCTGCTCCGTGTGTGTTTGCGGCTTTGTATTTTACTGAAGTCGTGCTGGGACACCTGAGTGGATTCGTGTATGGGGCGCTCTGGATTGTGGTCGTTTTTTGATGGGGTTAGAGGCTTAAGAGCGCGTCTTAATAGCCCGGAAAATACGGTGGTCTTGGTTCAGTCCGTAGCGTGTGCAGCGCAAAAGTTTGATATAATCTCGGGTTAACGGGCGGGAGCGGGTCTCCAAAAATGGACCCGTGCAGGACTCTGTGCTGTAGGCTCCATTACGGAATAAATGAATCTTCGGTTCGTTACATAAAGAAGGAGGAAAATAACAAAAGGACGACAGCAGCAATAAGTTTTAAGAAGGATGTAAAAAGGGTCAACTATGTGAGAAAAGTGTATAAAGTGTGTCGTGAGGGGTTTTACAGACTTAAAACCGATATAAACATTGTAAAATATAAATTTGAAGTTATTTTTAGAACGTAACCCCCGCAATAAACAAGGGACCACTGTATTTACTATAAAAAAAATTCCATATGGTTATTTAACTTCTTTTTTTTTTTCTTTACTCCTGACCCTGACCCTTTCTTTACTACTAATTAACTCCGTATATCTCGTCACATCAGTAAAAATTACACCGAAAAAGCCGGCGTGTCCAAACTTTTGCCCGATCGCGCACCTGCCCGCTCTTTTTCCAACCACACACATTCATCGCGCTGACCTCCTCGAAACGAAATCGGCGGCAGAGATCGCTCGCACCTTATCTCTGCCCTACACCTCCACGTTTGCCCCCCCCCTCCCCCCTCCTCTTCGTAGAGACGCCATCTTCGCCTGCCTCAGTATCGGTCCGGGGGTCAAGGGTGGGCGACCTGTCCGTGTCACCTCTGACCCCGCCGAGCCTCCCGTGGCCCGGTCAAACTGATGAGGAGGGATAATGCAGATTTGATGGTGCTCTTCATTGATCGCCGCTCCCGCTCTCCGTTGTCTTGCGGGTGTTTTGTTGCCAAGTTTATTTAGCTTCAGCCGGATTCATGAATACTAAATCCGGGGATCATAAGCTGGCGTGGGCGGATCGATGATGGGACGTGTCGATACTTCACTCCGGAACGGCTGATCTGCATTAACGGACGCGCAGAGACACAAAGCTGTTCAAGGAGCCCAGGTTTCTTCAGCACAAACAGACCTGGAGTTGTGTTTGTTTCATTCACACACGTTTAAACACACAAATTCTGCTCTTTTCTCAAACAAAAAACACTCGTGGACATTATTCTAGCAAATATCATGTGACTACGCGTTAATATAGTCCAAAAAAATGAAATAAAATCAAAGTTAAAGTGCCCGTATTATACTATTTTCTGATCTATAATGTACACAGCAAAAAGTGGAGTGTTAAAATTGACTCTCACAGAATCAATTTTTAACATTTTCTCAGGGTTTATATGAGTCCAATCTGTTCTAGAGTTAATTTAACATTTTTGGAAATGTTAATTAAGAAACACTGGACCAAAGTTCTTGTTTAGCACCAAAATCAAGAGTTATATTAACGTTTTGAGAGTGAACTGATAACACTTTGTAGGGTTATCCTGATTTAGCGAAACAACACACAGAGGTGTTTTGTTTTTACACTTTATTTTAGTTAATTTATGGTGAAATTATGTCCAAGTTTGAAGTGGTGGATGGGAGGTTTCAAATTAACACTAAGGGAAGTTAAATTAACACTAGTGGGAGCTGAATTAACACTAAGGAAAGTTGAATTAACATTGGGGAAATCGAATTAACACTAAGGGGAGTTAATCCGTGTATCATTCGTTCATTCGTTTTTCAATATAAAACCAAAAATAAGAAAACAAAAAAACAACAGTTTTCTTCATTATTTGTCTCCAAAACCAAAATAAAAAAACGGATACGATTCGTTTTTTCAGTTTTCGATTTTGTGTTTAAATGAAGAATGGAAAAAACGGATAACGGCCGTTTCCCGTTTACGTGACTTCCGTGACTGCAATGCTGGAATTTTGCACCGCATACGGACTGAATCAGGACTGATCCAGGTCTGAGACCAGAGCGGGACTAGACCGGACGGACGACGGACAGACGGGACAGAGCGGGACCAGAGTGGGACAGACCGGGACCAGAGCGGGACCAGGGTGAACTCCGAGCTTTGACTCTGAGCCTCCGCGGGGTCCGAGCCTCAGCTTCGGAGCGCCGGTCCTGCCGTGGGCTCTGAGCCTCCAGTCTGGTCCCGCTCTGGTCCTGGTCTTGTCTCGGTCTCAGTAGTGCTCTGGTCCCGGTCTGGTCCCGGACCTGGTCCATTTGAACCAAAATCTCTTAGTTCGGTTCGTTTTCGTTGGTGTGAAAGCGTCAGTCGGATGCTTTGCTCCACCTCAGAACCAGCCGCAGTTCTTGAGTGTGGAGGACTGGAGCAGCTCGTCCGGACCTGGACTCCACAGAACATTCTCACTTTCCCCACACGGAACCAGCGCGCAGACGATGACACAAAACCGCTCGGACCGCTGGTCCCGGTCTCAGTCCCGCTCTGGTCCCGCTCTGGACTCTGGTCCGGACCTGGATCAGTCCTGATTCAGTCAGTACGCGATGCAAATGTTCGGCATCGCAGTCACGGAAGTCATGTAAACGGGAAACGGCCGTTATCCGTTTTTTCCATTCTTCATTTAAACACAAAATCGAAAACTGAAAAAACTCATCGTTATCCGTTTTTTTATTTTGGTTTTGGAGACAAATAACGAAGAAAACTGTTGTTTTTTCGTTTTCTTATTTTTGGTTTTATATTGAAAAACGAATGATACACGGATTGGAGTTGAATTAACTCTAGGGGGAGTTGAATTAACAGGGGGAGTTGAATTAAGACCAGGAGAAGTTTAATTCAACCATATCAACTCTGACAAATAACTCCAACTCAAACCCCCATTTAACCTTCAAATAGTTAAAACACATTTTGTGTTAAAAACAACTCTGAAATATTTTACTCTGAAATTTTAACCCTCCAGTTTTTGCTGTGTAGTTTCCTCCTCAAAAACATACGTGGACTTCTGTTTCCCAGGCACAAAACGCTCAGTTCCAACTTGTGATGTCGTGTGGT